CACGGACAACTCATTTGGGGTGAGTACTTACCTACGGGGACACACAAACCAACACAGCATCCTCTCATATACATAAATACATACATAAAGCAGGCGTTGGTAGACTATTGATTTTGAATTTCCATTGATGCAGTCGAAGGGAGGGATTACATTTACAAATATTTGTACATGCATCCATATTTACATACATACATACACATGTATATGTGTATGTGGACACATTTATCCATTCCAAATATTTGCGAATGTGTTGTTTTTTCCAAGTACCTTTGTGGCCATTTGTGCCACATGTTGCATGTAGCCAAGTACAAACATACTCCCACACTACTTTTTTCAGCAAAGCATAGACTAATCGACTAATTGGTCTCCCTCATATTACTTACTATCCGGATTATTTTCACACGTCTGGCAGCATTTTTCAAATCCGGGTGCCAGCAGCACTTGTGGCATGTGATTAATGGTTAAATTTTTGCAAAATTACCAAACTATGCAGTGTGGATATGCAGAATGCAAAATTTGTTTTACTTTCGTTATTTTATTTTTCTTTTTGCCTGGAAATTTTAAATTCTGTTACTTAATGTGGGGTCACTGTAGACAACTTGTGAGATCTTTGACACCCAAACGCTCAACGTATGATTTAAAACAAATTAAAATGAACACAAAGCGCAGCAATAGACGATATAAATATATTTAGTCTCGAGTGCTACTTCCTTCCGTTGTTTCGTGTATTTTCGACAAAAATTTTTAAGTGAAATTTTTTAATTGAGAAGTGACCAAGAACGCGTTCAAAATTTAGTTTACGTTCCCACAAAAAAACCAAATAAAAACAAAAGTATTGGGAGTAGTTTGAACTGGAACAAAATGCGAACACAACTCTTGGGAACGTTCTCAAGAAGAACAGAATGAAAACGAATGTATCGAGAACGTTTTCAAGCAGGATCAAATAGGAACAAAAGTTTGGGGAACGTTCTGCTAGACAACAAAACGAGAACAAAAGTTTTGAGAACTTAACATTTAGAATGAGAGGAGAGTCTCCGTTTTGGGATGAAAAATTGTTTCAGTGGGCACGACGATGGTTAATTCTCAGCCACGGTGGAGTGAATACAGAAGGTGGCGCCGATGGTAGCACCGCGAATCGGCTCTCAGTGAATTTGACAGAATCAGCGGTTTTACTGACGTCACAGTCGAGATGACAGCAGTAGTGATGTGCTGAGTCAATAATTTTAAGTATTGATCGATATTCGGTACCGATTTAAAAAGTATCCAATGCTCTCGATACTCGGTACCGAAACATTTAGGCTTCGAATAAAAGCGCACATAGGCCAAAAATATGGAAAAAACGGTACACTCCCCTATCGAAACTTGAATGTAGAAGCCAATAGAGCTTTTAATATTGGTTCAAATGAAAGATGTATATATGTCGGTTCGAGACCATACTACAGAGAAACTCTTACTTGTTTGAAGCATTTTTGTTCCAGCTGAATCGGAAGATATCATTTTTGTAGGCCTGGGGGCAGATTCTGTAACCAGTTAGCGACAATTTTCGAATCCGTATCGGTTTTGTTGACGAATGATATGAAGTATTTTTACGCCAACAAGTGCGATATCGATTCGAAACTTGTCGCTAACTGGTACCGAAAGGAAATATTGGGTACCGACAATTCAGCACATCACTAGGGAGCAGTTTTATTTGCCGCTCCCAGTTGTCAACTCTACGATGACGTCACGCCAAAATTACTCTCATTAATTCTACTGGAATCGGCGTATTCTTGTATTCTATCATTCTTGATTCTAAGCCAGAGGAAGTCTGGATTCATTCAACTTCCAGATCGTTTATAAATAGGGTGAACAGTCCATTCATGGAAAGAGTTTTCATTTTCTGTTCAAGGAGAGTTCATTGTCTTATTTAAGTCTTTCGTTGATTTAATTTGTATAATTATCTTTCAATCCTTTTGTGATTAATTTTAATATTCAAACGTTTCAACGCCAGATCAAAAATTTTAATCTCGCTTCCATTCTTTGCGAATAGTTCAGTGAAGATTTGTTCCCGTTTCGTTCTCTGTCAGAAAGTTCCTGAGACTTTAGTTCCCGCATTGTTCTTAGAGAGAAAGTTCCGAAGACTTTTGTTCCCAATCTGTTATTATAGAAATGTTCCCGAAGGTATTATTTGCAATTTGTGATATCACAAGTTTCTTATATTGCTCCATTGGATAGCGGTGATGTCAGCCTGAGTCTTCACGATGACTTCAACCAACCGAGTAGAGGAACCTGCCTCATTAATGGTCCGTACGTTTCAGTTGCGTGCCCTCAAATCATGGTCCTTTAAAGGTTCGCCGTTCGTAGGTCTCTCATTGCAAGGCAGGTTCCAAACCCAACGCAACACCAGAACCATTGTCGAAGTTGTATTACATACGCGTTTTTCATGGCGAAACGCTTGCAGAAGTAAGACATCCGCTTGCAGCCAAACGTCTCCTTCTCTTTTTGTCTTGACCCTTGGCTCCACACGGTTTTGTTACTACATCTCGCAGATGGGTGACCCAGGGCTCTTGAACGCGGACTCAACAGCAGGAATTGAACATTGTGGAGCAATTGTAACTGCGTTCCCAAAAGCTCCACTAAACCCCCCTATCTGCATCGTATGCTCAAAAATCACGCTTTTTCGTTTCATCCTGAACTTTCTCATAAGAACATTCTAATCATAATTTTCGCATCTTTCTGCTATCATATTTTGTAGTAATATCTTTCGGCTTCTTTCTTTTTTTATAGACCGGCGCCTCTGCAGAGTTCAGTCATCGGCATCCACTGCGTCGTGAAACAGCCATCGAACTGTCACCGTCCAAACCGCCATCGGGTGGCGGCTTGCTCGGTTGCGGTAACAGCAGCGACACAAGTGGAGCTGGCAGCGGCGGCCCTGGGGGCGGTGGTGGAGCTGTTGTATTTTCCAGCTCATCCACCGGCCCAGCTGGGTTC